GCTGCAGACCACGGCATTCAAAAGCTGCACACGCATAGGAAGGAGCTGCTGCCCTCCTTCCTCTGAGTTGTCATGGAAATGATGATGGATGGGGAGGAAGATGCTGCACTTGCCAAAACCAAACCTGCTCACAGCCCCTTCTGCAGGTTTCCAAGGGACCCCGGACCACTCAGGATGGATGGGGATGACCCTGTGTTGGTTTAAAGGGGCCCCACAGGATGGGGAAGCAACATTTCCAGGGACGGGGATGCAGAGGTGCCTCAGTCTGCCCCGACATGCTGTCACTAGGAGGAAGGAAACCCCGCAGGAGAAAAGCACTGACGCTGATGCCCGGTGCAGGCAGGGATGCTCAGCACACCTGGGGCAGCGAGGCGAGATGCCCAGCCCCATAAATTACCCAACTGACATATGTAGGACAACGCCTGCAATGCCAGCGTGCCCACAACCTACTTTTGGAATTTACATCCATGAAGCCACGTGTAGGGGTGGTGCTCAGCTCCCGTGCCCATGGGCAGCTCCCCTTCCTGGCACATCCCGCATTACTCATAGGGAGCGACTCAGAGCTCCATCAGCTCGGTTACAGTCCCTGAAAGCAGGCAAGAAACAAACAGCAGATGCAAGAGGAGGCATCCCTCATCTGATGCCTCTTTTCTCCATCCGAAGCAGTTTCTGTAGTGCCCAACTGCTGAGAACACAGCAGGATGACACAAGAGGAAAGAGAAGCATGCTCTCTGGCTTTCCTCTGTCATGGCCAGAGAAGGGAGGGGGAGGGGGGAGAAAGAGAAATCTATTTTTTCTGCAAGAGGGTGGTCGGGACATTGCCAAAAGGGCCAGCATCCCCCAGGGGATGAGCATCCCAACGTGGGGTTGGGTACCAGCATCCTTGCAGGATGATAGGCACAGCATCTCCATAAGGTGATGGGGATCCCAACCCCACGTAGGGATGCCATACCCATGAGAGCTGGACACAGCACCCCCGGTGCAGGCTGCTGCTGAGTCACAGCCCCCCGTGCTCACTCCAACCAACACCCCAGCATCCCCCACACCTGCAGCCCCTCACAGCCCAGGAGCTGTCAGGGCAGGAGGGAAATGGAGGCAGAGCAATGCCAGGAGTGGGTGAGCACAATGCCAGGACACTGAGATGCTGAGGGAGCAGCCCCAGAGCTTCACCCACCCCTCGCACTGCCCTAGGGAGGAGACGTTTCTGCCCAGTGAGCTGGGCCTAGATGTCAGCCTGCTCTGCAGGACAGGAGGCTGCAGCCCCAGCAGAGGATGAGAAATGCTTGGAGAAGAGCTGAGCTGTACGCTGGAATTACACAGAAACCCTGTGTTTGGGCTTTTTTTGATTCCCCTCTAATTGCTCCTGCTATTTTAACTGAGACAGACATTTCCTTGGTGATTTTCGAGGGCTATAAATGTTTTATGCCCCTGGCACGGCTGATGGGTTCCCCTCAGCTCCTTCCTCTATGGCACTGAGTGCCTTCACCTCCCTCCTCCTCCTCCTGGAAATCAAAGCACCCCTGGGGGTGCTCCACACCAGGACTTGGGGAGCACCCACCTCTGCACGAGCATCTCTGGGGCGTGAGGGTGGCAGCTTTAAGGGCAACAGCGCAGGGATATTCGGGATTCCTTCTGCAGGGTCCTGTATGTGGCCTTAAAAGCCTGAGACGGATGCTTGGAGAGCAGGAATAAAAGTGTTTAGCCCTGAATTGAAGGTAAAGAAGGGGGGAGGGACTGACTGAATTGCCCCAATTACAGCTCCAAACTTAATGATTCTACAGTACTCAGCACTCAAGCCATTGCCCCACTGATGGCTGCACGGGGAATGGTCCCCAACCAGAGCAGTGCTGGGACAACGCAGTGCCATGGGGACACCCCAATGGCTGGCCTGCTTGCACCTCTGCAGCCCCACTCCACAGCCTAATTGAGGCCTGCTGGGCTGCTAACTATCCAAACCTGCTGTCTGCTGATAAATGGGAGAAACAGCTCCTTTTCGTGCCAGAATAAAACAAAGCAAGCAATTACATGGGCTGGGCTGAGAGCAGAGGCAGCCGGGTGGCACAGTGCAAGTCTCAGCATCTCCAGCACACGTGGTCCTCAGTGGGATGCTGATGTCCTGTGACCTTTGGCAGTGAAGTGGGGCTAATTAGAGCCTAATTAGCACTCATGGATACAAATGGAGGGGGTTCTTCATGCCACAGCCCCTTGACAGCCATACTAGGGATGAGGAGGAATATCTCCCCCACTACCCCAACCAGAAGAGGGAGAGGAGGAGGAAGCAGCAACACCAGTGGCAGCTGTGGGGCCACTGCACGACACACAGGCATTCCCCAAAGCCCCAAAGGGCTCCGAGTGGGCAGGGAAGAAAGTGCCCCATCATCAACCCAGTGCCAACACACCCTCCAAAGCCACCCGACCCAGCTCAGGTCCCTCTGCTGTACGGCCCAGCTTGCTGCAACTCCAAAAAAGGGAACCCCGCTCTCTGCCAGACCCAGCTGAAAGCACAGCCAGAGCTGCACAGAATCACCCCATTTCATCAACAAATACCTGGCAGCTCTGCCTTTTTCCATTGGGACGGGGCCAGGGCTTCAGAGCGGGCCGAGCGCCGTCCTCCCTCCCCCCAAACTGTCACCTCTGGTGTCACCGCAGCCCCGTCCTCTCACCATTCCTTTGGCAAACGCACAGGCAGCACGAGAGGGAGAAGGAAAATTAAAGGCTGCGTGGTGCGACCTGCCAAAAAGCCTCCAAAATGAAGGGAGAAAAAAGAAAGTCATAAATTTCTCAACTTAAAAAAAAACAACATCACAGATTTTATGTAGAAGTCCATATTTGACCACAACTCCCACTCTCTTTTCCCCCAAAATCGCAGCTCTTGGGTGTATTCCTGGTGTTTCCAAGGGATGCTCGTGTCGGCAAACAGCGTGCAGGGGCAGCACGTCCCTCTCAGCACTTTGCAGTAGTTATTCCACCCGACCAATGCGGCTCATGGAACAGCTCTGCCTCCCCCCTCCTCTTCCTCCTCCAGAAAACAGCATTTTTTGGCTCATAAACTCTCTCGCCAGCAAGTTCCGCTCAGCACTGCCCCAACCCTGGGAGGCAAAACTGCACTGGGGCCACACGCCCCGAGCATCCTTCTGCAAACGGAGCATTTCCCCCCATTTCTCAGCAGTGCAACCTTCGCTTCTCCAGGAAAGAAGCAGCAGCCCTGAGATCTCCACTGTTATTTTTATCTGAAAACGAGCACTTTGAGCAGCAGCCAAGCTGTGGGGAGGGAGGGAGGGAGATGTTTCACATTGTGGGGATGTAAACACGGCCCAACTTCCCAGCTCAGGGCTCACATCGTGATGCTAAACGTGGGCAGGGAGGCACTGGGTGGCATTGCCATGGGGTAACACTGCTCACCCCAACTGATGCTGTCCTGCTCCACGCGTTCCCCAAAAGCGCATCCCTGTGCCCCCCCCCACTCAGACCCATTTCTTCCCAAATCCAAACCCAAACTCCGTGCTCAGAGAGGTGACCCCCTGCTGCTGCCCTTTCTGCCCTTTGCCCGGCACAGCCCCAACCCCTCAGATCCCATCCCACCCCACAAAAGGCTTTTGCCCCTCTCAGCTTTGCACAAGGAGCTCGGCATAAATGTCACATTAATTAACTGAGGGAGATCTCTGCACGGCCACAAAAAGCCCTCTGTTCCGCCCCGCTCCCTGCCTCCCACCTCTGCTTTCCCTGCAGATGCCAACATGCAGAAGCCGTTCAAATCCCCTCCTCCCCCCCCAAGAGTCAAGCTGAGACCTCACACGCTCACTGCGTGCCACGCCATTCAGATCTCTGCAGACCTCAAAAAGGGAAAATCCCACAACACCGGGCTGGCAGCCCCAGCACAGAGCCACCCCACACCCCGCGGTTGGGACCCCATCACTGACCCAGGGTGGAAGCTCGTCCCCTTCCCTGCCCTCCTTCCATCTTCCATCTTCCCTTCTCCCCGGCTCCCAGAACCACTTTTGGATTCTCAGGTGCCTGTTATGGGGTTGAGCTCATTCCCCGCTCCGTAAGCCCAGCAAAGGGTTCCAGATCTCAGCCTCAGCCCAAAGCAATGCTGTAAGGAGGGGGTGGGCAGGGGTGGCCCAGGAGTTCTCAGCGCTGCCTTCCTCAGCCCCAGTCACATCAGCGGGGGGATCCAACATTGGTGCAGTGTCACCACGTCCCCATGCATGAGGCGGTGGGGGGTCCCCAATCCTTATCGCACCCCTCTGAAACCGTCACACACAGGGCTGTTTCCAGGCATTGCCCTCACCCTGCAGCCTCCAAGAAGAGGAGAAAAGCGGAGACTTTGTCCAACACAACTGAACAACATAGTGGTGGCAAAGAGCAGCAGAGCGAGACCTCGCGCCCCTCCTGGTCCCCAGTGAACCCCCAATGAACCCCACAGCCCATCATCCCAATCCTCACATTCACTTCCCCTCAGCCCTCCTGTCTCTGCTCCTCAGCAAACGGCTGCGTTGCCATCCACCAACTAAAGATCCCCAGATGGAGAAGAAAGAGAAATGAAGGGCTTCAAGTGGTCCCAACAAGGAGGGATGGAGCGAGCTGCCGGCTGGTCCCCATCCGCCCCAAACGAATGGCAAAAATGCAACATTCAGCTGAATAAAGGCTGCTGGCTGCATCACCCACAGCGTGCACAGGGCTGGGCTGCTCGCACATCGCACACCTCAGGGTGCTTTCAGTGAGAGCTCAGCAGCCCCCTCAGAAACAGGCACTTTGTATCTGCTGCTCTGGAGAGATGCAGCCACCACTGTGAGAGCCACGCGGAGCATCTGCACCCCCGGAGCATCTCTGTGCTCAGAGCACTCCTGGAGCATCACCAAGGCTGGAGCATCACCAAAGCATCTCCAAACCCGGAGCATTCCCGGAGCATCCCTGGAGCATCTCCAAACCCATCTGGAGCATCCCTGATCCTGGAGCATCACCAAAGCATCTCCAACCCTGGAGCTTCCCAAACCCACCAAAGCATCCGAACCTTGGAGCATCCCCAGCAGTTGGGCTGCAGGAAGGGAGGTACCAGAAAAGAGAAACCCCATAGGAGTGAGGCAAGCTCGGCGCTATTAAATCCAGCAGGTTGCACACTGGCGGGCAGCCAGAAATGGGGACTTTTTCCTCTAAAAGGGGAAGGGGACGGGAAGGGGAAGGGAAGAGAAAGGAAGGGACGGGAAGGGAAAGGGAAGGGAGTGGAAGGGAGTGGAAGGGAAGGGGAAGGGGCTTCCCACGCCGATGCTCCGCTAAGCCGAGCACAGTGAGAGCCGCGTGAGGAAGCCACCGCACGCAGCACCGCCCCAGGACCCGCTCCATCCCGTGCCGGACCCGACGCCCAAATCTTCCCCTGCCAAAAGCGCCCCCGGGGCGGCCAACACCCCAACCCCGCCGGCTTCTCCCGAAGGCGTTTCCCCGTGACCTTCAAACGCCATTCCCCGCAGCCTCGACCCCCCCTCCCCCGGAGGCCCCCAACCGCCGCTCGCTGCCGACCGCCACCCACCCCCGGCTCCACACCCCGCCGTGGCCCCGCACTCACCAGCGCTGCGCGGGCGCTGAGCAGCAGCAGCAACACCGCGAGGCCCCGCAGCTCCGCGGGCATCTTCGTGCCGCAAGGACGGCTCAGCAGCTCGCGGGGGCGGGGAACGGCCTTTGTTGCCGCCGCCCTCCCCGTCCCCTCCCCGCACCGCCGCCCCGCTGGAAGCGCCCGGCCCCGCTTCCCCGCTCCGCCCGTGTGCGGAAACCGCCCCGCCCCGCTACGGCCCCGCACACCGCTGTGATGTGATCGGAGCTGGGGGGAGAAGGGGAGTGGAGGGGGGGTGTGGGGGAGGATAAGGGGGTGTCGGACTGGGGTTACCCCGGGGGTGGGAGGGAGAGTGAGGGGCGATGGGGAGGATGCGGGGCTACGGGGGAAGGAAGCCGGGGGTAGGGAGGGGAGGAGTGGGGAAGATCGGGGAAACTCGGGTAATCGGATGTAGGGGAGAATGGGAGGATCCAGGGGTAGATAGAAGGGAATAGACTTCAGGGAGGGACTTCGGAGCAGTTAGGAGGGTATCCAGGAGTAGATAGAGGGCTTGGAGGCTGATAGGGAAGGATGCAGGGGGAAATGGAGTGGTATCGGGGTTAGATGAAGGCGATGGGGCATTTAGAGGAGTGGCCAACAGTAGTTAGGGGGCATGGGAGTAGATAGAGAGGATATAGGGGAGTAGATTAGGGGAGTACCCAGGGGTAGTTAGAAGGGATATGGGAGAAATAGGGGGCATCCAGGAGTAGATGTGGAGGCATGGGGATGACCAGGTATACCCAGAAGTAGGCAGGGTACCCTGGGCTAGAAAGAGGGGTATGGGAATAGGTGGGGATACCCAGAGGTAGTTAGAGGGGCATGAGGGAAGATAGGGGGTAGTCAGGGGTAGTAGGGGATCATGCGGGCAAATGGGGAGGGTACAAAGGTAGATAGGGGTTACCTCAGCATAGATGAAGGCATGGAGACAGATAGAGAAGGATGAATGGGTAGATAGAGGAGCACCCAGGGGTAAACAGGGGGGCAAGGGGACAGGTGGGGGAACCTAGGGTGGACAGCAGGGCATGGAGAAGTACCCAGGAGTAAGCACATGGGGGGAACCCAGGGGTACAAAGGGGGGGCATGGAAAAGCCGGGGGGGTAGGGGGGGATAGGGGGGGAAAGATAGGGAGGGATCTGGAGCAGATTGCTGGGACCCAGGGGCAGATGGAGGGATCCAAGGGTAGAGAGAACAGCACGGGGCAGACAGGGGGCTGGGATAAGTGGGACAGAGGAAGCAGGGATGAATGGGGAGGGATAAATGAGAGGGACTCAGGGGTGGATGCAGTTATGCAGAGGTGATGGGGAGATCAGCAGATAGGGGGACACGCGGCAGGTGGAAGAGGAGTTCAGGGACAGATCCCGTGGCAGATGGAGGAAAACGAGGGGCAGATGGCGAGGGGACCTGGGGCAAATGAAGGAGGGGACGTGGGGCAGATGGCAGCGGGACCCACGGGCAGAGCTGGGGGGGGACGGGAGAGACGTGGGGAGAAGGGGAGAAGGTGGAGCGGGGAGGCAGCCAAAAAAGGGACATCACCGGGATTTAGAAGGGAAGTGAACCCAATTCGACTACAGCGCACGGCCCGTCCCTGAGCGGGGGCACCCAAAGGGGCGGAGGTGAAGCAGATCCCCTCAGCCCGCCCCCAGGGCTCCGCTGCAGCTTCTGTCCGCCTTAATTGTGCAATAATTAACGAGATGCAAATAATAATAAGGGATGCCTCGGTGCCAGCGGGGAGGAACCCTTTGCTGAGGCTGCACCGCCCCGCAGCGGTTCCCGGCGCTCCCTGCACTGTGCAGCGCGGTGGGGAAACCCGGGGGGAGCGGAGGGGTCACCGAGCCTGGAGGAGTCCCAGGGCCCAGAGTGGGGATGCGGCACTGAGGGACACGGGCAGCGGGCACGGCGGGGTGGGCTGCGGTTGGACTCGGGGATCTTAGAGGTCTTTCCCGTATTAATGGTTCCACGTGGTGGGAAACACAACGTGGCGAGCTTGTGGGTGATGAGCTGGGGTGGTGGGACACGGGTGATGAGGTGGGATGTTCTTCACATAGAGGGAGGCACTGGAACAGGCTGCCCAGGAGGCTGTGGATGCCCCATCCCTGCAGGCATTCAAGGCCAGGCTGGATGTGGCTCTGGGCAGCCTGGGCTGCTGTTGGTGACCTGCACACAGCAGGGGTTGCAACTGGATGAGCATCGTGGGCCTTTTCAACCCAGGCCATTCGATGATGATGAGCATGATGACGTGGGTGATGTGGTGGGACACTGTGGCCATGACAGGACGTGGGCGAGACGTGGCTGACCTCGCTGGTCACAACTTGACCTCGTGGGACAAAGCTGCTCTGATGGATGAGGCTGAGATGGTGGGTCACAGGTTGATGTGACGGGACGCAGCTGATGGGGTGAGATGTGGCTGTGGATCACAGCCAGCAGGATGGAGCAAGGCCCGCCCCATGTCAAAGCACCCTTCACCCCACGTCCCCTCCAGCAGTGACACAAGGCGGGGCTGCAGCACCCAGCTGTGCCCCAGCACTGCCCACAGCCAGCAGCCCGAGCAAAGGTCAGGACAAGGGGTTTGCAAAAAAACACGGCCACGGGGGTGGAGAACAGCCCCAGAGCTGTTCATCAGGGGCAACGGGCCCCAGCCGCTTGAGAAATGTGCAACCTTCATGCAGAGCAGCTGGTGATGAACCCCAGGTAAAGGTGAGAAACGATGCAGGTGAGGAGGAACCACCCCAATGCTGCCCACACTGCCCACTCTGCCACGGATCGGAGCGGAGTACCGAGCGCCTCCTGGGAACGAGGTCTGCGAGTCAGGGAAGTTTCCACAGAGATTTGAGCTCAGTGCTCAGCCGAGCCACCACAGCCCTGTGCCTCTCAGCCACCACCATGCGCTCAGTGCTCTGCTGCACCTCACCACCGACCTTTGCTCCTCATGCATCAAACACAAACTGCACAGGAACCCACGCTGCCGAAAGGCTGCGATGGAAGAAAAACAGTGGCTCAGGTTGGAAAAGACCTTGAAGACCATTGAGTCCAACCACAACCCAACCACACCGTCTGAACAGCCCTCCTCTCAACCACGTCCCTGAGCACCACATCCAAAGTTTCTGAACACTGAGGGATGGTGACTCAACCACCTGCCTTGAGAGCAAAATGAGAGCACAGAGCAGAGAGGCAGTGGGGAAAACTTCATCTGCCCCCTGTGCGAGAGCTGCAGCCACCAGGAGCCCGCAGCACACAGGCCGATCTTCATTCGCCCCACAGCTGCCCCACAGCAGGGTGCATGGATGCTCGGAGGCTCCAAGGGCCGTAAGCAGAATCTGAGGGGAAGAATTGCCAGGAGCAACAGCCCAGGATGGGGCAGGGAGCTCTGCCTCCTCCTCTGCTCCACCTTCTCAGGCCCTGCGCAGGGCAGGGGAGGCAGAAGGGAAGAGGCAGGAGGAGGGCAGGAGGCTGCAGAGGGAAGGAAGCACCAGGCCAGATTCCAAAGTTCTGTATTTTTCAAAATAAAGATCACACGTTGTTTAGAGACAATCTACACAAGAGTTACAAAAAATAGTCGCCCAGGCATAAGCATACACAGGTTTGTTAATTATACACATATGGTTACAAGTGTGCTTGCAAAAAAGTTCATTGGAAATATACACAAGGCTCTGTAAATGTACACCGTGTAGTGTTACAATTCTATATTCAAACAAGGAAAATTGACAGTATGTTACATTCACTTACAAGTAGACAAAATGCAAAATACAGTTCATCTTCTGTACAAAAAGGGGAGGTGATTCACACTTTACAAGGTGAAAAGGGGTTCTGATTGTAAGGAAACTAGGGGGGTTCTGTACTTTTGCACTTTTCGTTTCTTACTGTCACAAAATAAGCAAAACATTACTTTGTAAGAGTCAAAAAAACACTATTCTGAACTGAATCGTTTTGTAGAACATTTAGAAAGGATCGCTACCGCTCAACTAGGTGACAAATAAAACCAAGCATCTTTTTAAACATTAACTAGGCTGTATAAAGAGAACATTTCCTTCAAAAGAAAAAATTTACTTCTGGTTGAAATTACAATTTACAATATACAACACTATATGCTACGACCATAAAAGGTGTGAATATACACTGAAATGCACAGGTTTTGCTAATTCTTTTTTTTTTCTTACCAAAAAACGGGTTTATGTCGATTCAAACTTCTCCACATTTACATTACAGAGGTTTACAAATGTACAATTGTACAGTCAGAAGTATGTTCCACTACTAGGGTACATTATAGATACAGATCAGACATCAAAACAAGAAAATACTACAAATTTTTATATATGTAAAGTCTACACCAAGTATACACTATATATTTATAGAAGCAAGACCAAAGCCGAGTTGGGTTTGTTTTCCTCATGCTAAATGATCAAATGGTGTCTCTCCCCGTGAGCAGGACAACCGAGCAGGCAGTGAAGGACGCCCGCCCCCCGGCTTCAAAACCCTCCTGGCCGTGCCCCCCTCCTGCCCAGACGAGCTCTAC